TTACCGCAGTGAAAACAAAACTAAACTATACTCTGAACCCTGGACTGAAAAAGTTTGAATGTAATAAAACCTTTATGTTAAACTGGTTTGACACAATCTACATTGTAAAAGTGTAACCCAGCGGGTCTTACGTCACCCAACCTGCTCCGAGCTGGGATCAAACCAGCAACCTTCCGCATGGTAGTCAGTTGCTCTACCAAGGAGAGCACCTTTAGAGGTCAGAGGAGTGAGGTTTACCTGCACAGCACTTACTAGCTGGCTTCTGTTACACTCACCCCCCTAAACTTCACTCCCATCCGGGTCACGGCACAAATTTAACCCCGTCGGTCCTCACCACCCAACACACCCCGAGCTGGGATCAAACCGGCGACCTTCTGCATGGGAGTCGGCTGCTCTACCAAGGAGGCTAATGACCACTGTCACTAGAGTACCTTTAGAGGTCAGAGGAGTGAGGTTTACCTGCACAGCACTTACTAGCTGGCTTCTGTTACACTCACCCCCCTAAACCTCACTCCATCCGGGTCACGGCACCAATTTAACCCTGCCTGTCCTCACCACCCAACACACCCCAAGCTGGGATCAAACCGTCAACCTTCTGCATGGGAGTCGGCTGCTCTACCAAGGAGGCTAAAGACCACAGTCGCTAGAGCACCTTTAGAGGTCAGAGCTATAGAAATTAAGATAAATTGAAGTATTAAGTATTGTTATTATAATGTAAAAAACCTGTATTCAATTTTACAAATGTTTATAATAAAATATTTTTATTATAAACATTCTAACGAACCTAGACCAATAAGAGATTATGTGGTTTATTGACTATGAGTGACTGAATTAAGGAGCATATGGCCTTGCTTTGGCTTTGGATGGATGCCTTACAAGGCCTAAAGATAAATGATGTTGAATGTTCATGTTTTTGTGAACTATCCCTTTAAGATCAGTTCTATTTGTGTCTGAAAATCTTATAGCATAACTCGGTTTTGACCTCACGAAGAGGTCTTCTGTTGTTTAAGATCTCCCCAAAACAAGTACCCAGGGTTCTGTTTCCAACACTGCCATTAAATCCATAGGATTGTCTGACATGGTTGACTTTTTAAACCTGTAACATTAAGGCGGATTTGCCCACCATCTGACAGGCTGGGTGCTAGGGTGGAAAATTGGTCTGGCTTAGAGCGGGGAATACCGAAGAGCTCTCTGGGCGTGTTTGTGCTTTGTTTCAGAGCTGTCGGAGGAATGCTAACTCCTTGTGGCGTGGAGAGCTTTTAGTAAACAGAGAGCGTGCGATGCTCTGAGAGGCAGGAGTTTTTGAGGAAACCAGAATCAAAAATGCAAGAAGAACACTCATTTGGAGGATTGGAAAGAAGCTTAGCTGAAGTTTATGCCCAGCGGGACTTGATTAGATTCACTTCTAGCTTTGGTTAAATTAGTGTTTAAAGGTGTGAATCCGCCAGGTAGGAATGAAGCACGATAGGTTACGATAGAAACAGATGAGCATATGGTCTGCTTGTTGATCCTACATGTCAAAGCAAGCTGCGTTGTTGCATTTACTCTACGGTTTGGTACAGCGGCTTGATAGATGGGTTGAAAAATAACTAAACAAGCAAATTAATAGTAGTGGTTCAGAATGCCTTAAGCAGAACTCTTTCAACCTGACCTGATTATCTTATCTTGAATGTATTCTAGATCAAAATGCTCTTGAAAAAAAGTTAAAACATTTTTTTTTTGATAATTTATACAACAGTTCTGTCTGGTTCTCGAATCTGATTGGCTGATAGCTTAAGTAATATCAGCATCCATACATCCTCTTTACCCTTTGTGTATTACTCTGTCCACATACAGCCAGCGACAAACAGACACTACAGTTTGACAAATATTACTGTTGTTAGACAACAAAATGTACTTTTGAGGCTTTTTTAGTCGAGAATTTAGTTGTTTAGATTGCATCTATGCAGTTTATTTGCAAGAATAGTGTATATTTTAAAATATTTACAATTTCTAAAAGAACTTGTCGGTGGCCATTACCTGTCATAATGAGTAGACCAGACGGTTGACGTTTTCTATCCACAAGATGGCGCCAGAACCGCATAATAAGCCCTAACGCTTAGAACAGTCTGATTACTAACTATATCAGATCAAATCATTAATAAACTGGTAAGCATACCTGCCAACATTCCTGTTTTTCTTGGGTTGGGTATCGTTTGGAGTAATTTCGATGCTAAATTCGGTGCTAAATCGATACTTCTAAAATACTACTGGTGCCAAAACGGTGCCTGTAACTATACTTTTGAGCCACAAAATGGTGGTTGACTCTAGAAAAGCTTTTTATTTGACAAAATATATATTATGATAATTTTAATTGAACAACATATTTAAAGTTTAAAGTATACAGCAATTCATTTTTTAAATATTATAATTGAATTGCGTTAATTTATTTTTATTTTTTATCAATTGTTTGAATGCAAGATTTGCATTATTTAACATTGCATTAGCTTACTGCTAATCTGGGAAAAGGCTGTCATCAAAATCAATGAACTCTTTTCTATTTGTTGACTTTAACTGCAGTTCGGCACTTTCACCTTTATTCAGGAACATTCCATGCAGTCCCCCATAACAAACTGGGGTATTTGATGCAAGTATTAAATAAGAACTGGTGGAAGAGTGTTCCTCTGCATTTTGCGATACGGGTGTCTTTGGTCCTTTATATGATTATATGAATATATGATGAACATATGACAATATAGAGTAACATATGAAAACACAGGCAGAAATTAATATCAGCTCAATAATCAGCTTAAACAATTCTTTCAGTCAAGAAAATCACAGTTAGATCTAAGTGATATGACACAATGCATAAACATGCATGAAACACTTACATTCTGAAGTCTGCTTGCGTTTGTTGCCTCATTGTAAACATATGGTGCAAATTTTACAATCTACACATTAAATAACAAAAGATTTAGGGAGGGAGGCAGTAAATAAATCTGTATATCCTGCATTTTGTGTTCTGGTGAACTTGTGAGAACTGTGTGGTCATGCATGGCTGTCTGCTTCATAGAATGGCCCTTTTACTATTAAGTCTCTCCCATTTTCAAAATACGTCCCACATTCAAAGTAAATATAAAAAAGGGGAAAATGTCATTGTTGTAATCTCACTAGGAAATGTTGTGGCCAATCAAACCCAGGTGTGCATATTAATGACTTGGGTGGATCGTTTGAGCTGACGTTTTGCTCTGATTGGATTTACATGAGAATGAGGAAACAATTGTGTTTGAGGCTCAAATTGTGTCATTTCCATGTACTGAACTCTTATTATTCAGCTATGCCAGCCATTTATATTCCAATTTTCATTCTTTGAAAAATGTAAACATTTTTAGTGTAAATTTTCTTTGGTTTAGAAAGAAATCAGCCACTGCAATACTGCAATTTTGTCTACGTTACTTTGGGGTGAACAACTCATAATTTTTTTATTTCATTGAATTCATCAGTGTTTAATGGTGTGAATGGCCAGGTAGGAATGAGGATATGATGAAAATAGATGAGCATATGGTCTGGTTGTTGATTCTAGACCCCAAATAAAGCTCCATTGGGGTTTTGTAGTACAGCAGCTTGCTAGACGGGTTGGAAAATAACTAATTCTACAAAATAATTAATGCTAGCGGTTCACAATGCCTTTTTTTTTTTCAAACACTCTACAGCCTGACCTGTTCATCTTGGCTAAATTACAAGGGCTTTTTACCCCCTAGAGAAGCATAAAGTTGTTACTTGTGGTATTAGTAGGAATTACAATCAGACAGTCTAAATGAACAGGGTGCATTTCATTTGGTGGAGTTAATTGGACGTAATCCAGTGTGGTTCTGGGAATATTTCACCAGTCAGTCTGTAAACAGATCCACTGTGACTTTAGTGTTCACAAACTTTAGTGTTCACAAGACTTTAGTGTTTATTTGACTGAATAAAGCGATTTGTCAGTCTGTCCGTTCATCGTTTTATTTAACTATCTATCCTTCCATCTGTCCATCCATCATTTTACCTATATGTCCATCCGTTCGTCCGTCTTTTTATCTATCTGTCCATCCATCCATCATTCTATCTGTCTGTCTTTCTGGCGTTCTGTCTGTCTGTCTGTCTGTCAATCGATACCTACCTACCTACCTACCTACCCACCCACCGACCCACCTACCTACCTACCTACCTACCTACCTACCCATCCATCCATCCATCCATCCATCCATCCATCCATCCATCCATCCATCCATCCATCCATCCATCCATCCATCCATCCATCCATCCATCCATCCATCCATCCATCCATCCATCCATCCATCCATCCATCCATCCATCCATCCATCCATCCATCCATCCATCCATCCATCCATCCATCCTACCTGTCTGTCTGTCTGTCTGTCTACCTACCCATCCATCCATCCATCCATCCATCCATCCATCCATCCATCCATCCATCCATCCATCCATCCATCCATCCATCCATCCATCCAGCCGAACAAGCCATTGTATTTTGATACACTGGCTTCGATACAAACCACCTTTTATCCCCTTACACACAAAAACACACATTAGGAAGCGAACAGGGTCAGTTACATGATTAAGCCAATCGATCATCATCTCTAGTCTATTGACATCATTTTCTGTATCATTATAGCACCAGAGCTTCATTGCAGCACATGCACTTTACAAGCACTCCTGTAATAACCCTGATTCAAGTATCTTGTTGACGAATGACAGTCGTTGATTGTACCTCATACTTGTTACTCCGACAAGAACCCCTTATAACCAATCCTCAGGTTCAACTTTCCTTCCGGCTTCAAATAATATATAACAGCGCTTTCCTGACGCACACTTGACAGGAACGGTCCGTGTCAACAAGGCCGCCGAGAAATCCAGCTGCGCTTAAGTGCCTATGGCTGTTAAGTGAGAGGCAGGGAAAAGTTTGTGCTTCGATTAGTTGGAGATGACATGTTCTGGCCTCTGTGTTTGTCTTGCAGCTGATTATCCAGAAGATCCACATGTGCCAGCAGCTGTGGGCTTGCGAGTCATTTGTCAGCGTGCTGGAGTACCTGCTGGCTGTGGGCAATTACCTCAACCAGAACGCAGGCAAGGACAGGGCCAAGGGATTTCGCCTCTCATCCTTAACTAAGGTAAGACCCGCATCGCACCAGCAAATGACCTTTGGGGGTTGGCGAGGAGAGCTGGCGCTAATAAAATGGCTTATTGGCATACAGGACAAAAAAAGCTGCCACTTTTATTTCTTGTTCTGCCAGTTTTTTCCTTCAGCTGTTTTATCAGGTATCAGATTTGAGGGTGGTTAACAACCAAGTGGGTTGAGACGTTTTTTAAAATGTTGTATTTTCTTGTGTTTAGCAAGTAGCAGCGTCTGTTTTGGGCCATGATGTGTTGTTAGAACAGCTTTGCACACAGGCAAACTGACAAAATGGTCACGTCTCCTGAAATACTTTCTCCCACGTAAGCTATCATTCAAAACTTGTCAGAATGTCAGATGCTTGATTCTAATGGGCTGATTAACATCCTTAGTTTATTTTGGGATAAATGCACAGCTCCCAGTTTGCTTACTTATAATAAGTGCTAAAAGTATGTACTTATTGTGAAGAAAAAGTATATAAACTCACTGGCCACTTTATTAGGCACAATTTACTAGTAGCTGCTTTAATCCTTCATGGCATCAATTCAACAAGGTACTGGAAATATTCCTCAGATATTTTGGTCTATATTAACATGACAGCATCACACAGTTGCTGCAGATTTTTCCGCTGCACATCCATGATGTGAATCTCTCGTTCCACCACATTCCAAAGGTGCTCTATTGGATTGAGAACTGGTGACTGTGGAGGCCTTTTGAGTACGGTGAACTCATTGTCATGTTTAAGAAACCAGTCTGAGATGATTCACGCTTTATTACGTGGCGTGTTATCTTGCTGGAAGTAGCCATCTGAAGATGAGTACACTGTGGCCATAAAGGGATGGACATGGTCTGCAACAATACTCAGGTAGGCTGTGGCATTGACACGATGCTCATTTTGTACCAATGAGCCTTGAATTAAACTTGAATGCATACAGACTAATGAGGACTTGTGTCACTGTGGGGATCAAAATTGAGGTCCCCATGGGTAAACATGCTTATAAAATCACACAGAATGATGTTTTTTTTTTTTTTTTTTGGAGCATAAAAAGGTTAATGGTTTGCTCTTAGGGGTTTGGTTTAGGGATTGGGATTGATTATATGGTTTGTATACTAGAAGCATCAATACACCTACGAGAGTCCCCATTCAGACATAGGAATAAGTGTGTGTGTGTGTGTGTGTGTGTGTGTGTGTGTGTGTGTGTACAGTGACCACTGTCAGTCTGTCTTACCAAATGCATGTTAAAAAATCAATAAGAGCCCTGCTGTTGCACTCTGTTATGATCTATTGCATGATATGTATTCACATGCATATGTATTTAATCATATAATGACATACTCGCCAATACTTATTGCTATGGCTTTGACATGTCTGTACGACTCCATCCACTTTGCCACACAGCGGTACCTTTGAGTTTCTCTTTGTTGTTGGCTTCTCTAAACTCTTGCTGCAGCGGCCCAATTCATTAGCCACGCAGCACGGCTGTTTTTTTTTTCTGAGCTCGCTGAGTCATTAGAGACATGGTTGTAATTTGTATCGATTTTTGTAGCCAGGGTGCTCGAAACCAAGTTCCTCCATGGCAAGATTTAAGGGCCCCTGCACAATAAGCTGAATGATTTCCTTCTTTGCTAATGAGGTATCGGAGTGCACCATCCTGAGCTTCCTCTATAGAAACTGAAGAAAAACACTTATTCTAGGGCACTAAAATAAAACGGGATACAAGACAGCTCTGGAGATTGATGAAGCACCTACCATCACATTATCCAAAAAAAGGCATTTAATTTTTGCGCGTTTTTTTTTTTTTTTTTTTTTTTTTTGGAAAATACAGTGATCAATAGTGTTGACGCCTTTTTTTCTGTAACAGGATACTAACAAAACTTTAATTATACTTATGATGTTTATTATATATATAACATCAATTGGCTAGTAGACCTCAAAAATGATTTTAAGACCAGAAGATAAAATTTAGCTGACAAAAACTCAAAATTGTCAAATTTTCCCCGCAATTAAAGCTGACAGATGCTACATTGTCTTCAGTGATGCTCAACACACACAAATCTGTTAAAGGGCCATGAAACCCCCTCGTTTCAGCAGTGTGTTTTCACACCTCTACTTTGGAAAAAGTCAGTAAAGTGGGCGTGTCCAGCTCTGTTTAGGGGGGAGTGTCGGAGGAAGAAGAGAGGCTTGGTGTGGGAGTGTCTATTTGGGCGCGCTGACTTTCCGAGTCAAAACACACACCCACACAGGGGACAAAGTAACTGTTTACATGGACATCTGTAGTCGAATTATTTGCCAAATTATTAAATGGTGGACTTTAACTGCATTTTGGCTCTTTCATTCAGGTATTTATTCATGTCCCTCGCGACAAACGTGATATTTGATTCGAGGAACTGCTCTAAGCGTGTATTTTTCATGCAATGTTTGATACCGCACGACGAATGAGAGAAAAAAAAAACTCAGCATTTCCCGGAAACTTAGATGCACACGGCAGGTAGCATCAGAAAGCCGCGTGTGTTATTCCGGTCACAAAATCCAACACGAGGTTATAGTTTGGTTGTAGTGCTAACTTGTTTACACTCGGTGCAATAGTTTGTTTGATACGAATAAAATACGAACTGAATAAACAAAGAGCACTGGTCGCTCACTTACCAAATCTGTAGAGACAGGACAATCCACAGCAACTAGAGCCGCGTCTTTATTTAGAGGAGACTACAAGCGAATCCGGATCTCAGCGTTTGCAGATGAGAACAGCTCTCAGGTTAACAATAATCCTCCTTAAACACGTAAGTTATCGTTGTCGAGCGTCGCGTACAATGTTAATCCACACGTGACGCCAGCTGCGCTCTCACAGAGAGAAAATGAAAACAAAACTTAACGGCAGCAAACTATAAAAGCAACACTTCACACTTGTTTTGCCAACACAACGTGGCGTCTCTGCCGTCTAAACACAGTAATGAATATTAATGCAGTTGCACAATAGAGCGCGCTGATTGGTTTGAACCAAGCCTTACTCATGCATTAATGCATCACACTGTAAGACATAATAAGACTCACTCTGGCACAGACGTCCAGTCTGCACACTGGAATACACGCTATTATGTCATGGCCGTGACGCAGCTTCAAAAATTCGTTTCAAACCGGAAGTACGAATTTGCTTGAAATAACGCAAAAACAACCAATTTACACTTTTTTTGTGAAATATAGGTGTCCTAATAGTGTTTTTAGCAGTGTGGGACACATATACGACTGTCAACAGCTCAAAAAAATGTGTTTTGGTGTTTCGTGACCCTATAAGTCTCAAAAAAAGTACCTTTAACTACATTGAACTTTGCTTTTATAAATTGTACTTAATGTATTAAGTTCAAAATTATTTGGAGTTAATTTGACTCCACTTTTAATTAATCTTGAATTAATTTTCAATGTTTTATTTTAATTTAGTAAAATAATTCGGAGGTAGATTTGAACTGAAAGAATTTCAGGGACTTTTAATGAAAGGTCTGTGTGACATTTTATCTTTTAGTTTCGACTTTTTTTCTTGCATTTAATTTCACAGTTCTCTTGTAGTTTTTGGTTATATACACACACACAATTAAGAGTTAATTTCCTGTAGGCTTGCATTTCTGAGAATAAAGCTGAATTGTGAATTTTACCTGACAATTCTTTTTGGTAAATTTGAAATTGTGTGTTTATATCTCGCAATTTTGGGGAAAAAAAAAAGTCATGATTGACTGCATTTTTCATTGCTGTAAGTAAAGCAATCTTATTTCAATCCAAAAACAAGATTATTTATCTACACCACTGGTAGATTATTTTTTTTAAATCAAAACTTAATTTTGAATTAGTAATTCTGAAATTAAAACACTAATGTTTATGAAACGCTTCTTGATTTAAAAAAAAAAACTTTTTGATATTTAGACTAAAGTGTGAAAAAAAAGACAAAAAATAGTAAATTGCAGTGATGTTACTTTTAATCTTCCTCTGGTTGTGTTTTCTTGGTAAAAATGGCTGACATTTAAATTCTAACTTGTCATTTTGCAGCTTTTGTACTTGTTATTAAGTGAAGTTTATTTATAAACTAATTTCGAGAGGATCATGTGCTCATGATTGCTTGCAGCCGGCCCCGCATTATTTAATTTATTATTCACCAATCAGACGATTTCTAAGCCACTATAAATACCCTAAGTTCCATATAACAGCCATCTTCGTTTTGAAGAATCCCCCCTTCCACCCCTCCTCCTCCTTTCCTATAAGAGTGGCATGGTGGCCCAGTGGTTGGCACTGTTGCCTTACAGCAAGAACATCAATGGTTCTAGTCCTTACCAAGCCAGCCGGCGTTTCTGTGTGGAGTTTGCACGTTCTCTCCCGTCTCACGTGGGTTTCCCCCGAGTTCCCTGGTTCTTCTTACTGTCAAAAAATATGCCACTTAAGTTAATTGACTAATCCAAATCGGCACCGTAGACATGCTCCTAGTAAACAGTTATCTCTTAGGAGCAATCACTATCTGTTCATTAGTTACTACAGCAGGGGAGTTCTTGAGATCTACCTGAGCTCAAACTCCCCTCTCTCCTTGCAAACGGGAGGGAGCCCCGGGCTTAAGGCTCTTATGAGCTAAGGGCTCTCTCCTGGGACAGCATGCCAAACAAGCTTTATAATCAATCATCAGCTAAGTGTGAACTCTTAAATGTATTTTTTAATGATAAAGGCATTTCATTTTTCAGTGGGTTCATTTATGTATGCGCATGCTTATTAACATCAAGCTTTGTTATAATAACCAATGTTACCAAATCTTTAACAATGATAAAAATTCAGATTTCGAAGTGGGACTTTGGGAAGCCCTGATCTGCGATGTGAAAGCAATCTAAACGATATGCATTTTAACACTTTTAAAGTGGTCATAAGTGGACAAGCTCAGTACATTTAAACCTTCTTTCCAATTGTATTTACCGTTTTCATTTATGATCAGAATGCCAAAAAATGCATATTAACACTAAGCGTAAATAAACTTCAGACAGGACCTCTTTGCCAAGGATGCTTTTATTGACAAATTGTTATTCACTGGTACCTAATGAAAAAAAACGTATAAAAATTGAGGGAGGGTTGCAAGCATACTTACCTGAGCTGCCACTATATGTACAGTGATTGGAGCAGATCAGCTGATCGCACTAGCTGATGGCAACACACTGTAAAAAATACAGGGTCCCACACAATTCCTTCATGTCGTCCCAACACAAATCGATTAAGTTAACCTAATTTTTTTTTTTTTTTACATATTTATGGATTTATGGAAGTGGATAGAACATAAATCAATTAAGTTGTCCCCTAAAAAGTAAGAATTTTGTTGTTTCAGTCCATTTTAAATAAATAGTTCATAATAGGTTAATAATAAATATTCTTGAATATGTCTGTTGCCTACATGACCTGACTGAACGATCATTGCACTCAATTATAACCCTATTTTCCAGTCATTTAAAGTGAATATGATTAATCAATATCATGCTTTAAAAAAATCTGATCAAAAAATCAGAGCGGCTTCTTTTTTGCATGCATTATCATAAAGAATGGGCCTAGAGAGCTCGATAGATCTGCTCTTATTCTCTTCAGGCCTCTTCACATGGAGAGCAATCGAAACAATCGCTCTTAAACATGCGTGCTGGATTTCTCACGAGCACTCGCTGTACATTTTCTTTCTTTTAAAAAGATGCAATTAAGATAAGAAGTGTTTGTGTTCGACACTCGTCACTTGATTAATTCTCGGTACTCGGTTATTCACACTACCATTTGATAAGTGCAAAACCTTTTGGAATTAGCGGCTATATTTATCTGAGTGAAGTCTCGAGACGTGCATTTGTGATGATGATCACCCTTACTGTACGGATTGAAAAAACTCTCACGCCAGGCATTTGCATTGTATTCGAATGGTTTAGAGATGTCAAGGAGATCCTTTTGGGAAAACGTAAGCTGCCTTTTTTCTTTTTCTTTTTTACACTGGCACAATAAGAGGTGCACTTCGGTACAAGGACATTATGTTCTTCCATTTTTAGTTGATGGTAATATGCATGTGGGTGTTGAATTGTCAAACCTCGCTCTTGCTCTGGCCTTGGGCAAGGTATTGGTATTCAAAGATGCGCGCATGAGCGTGCATAAACTCTCCCAAATGCACACTCAAGCCCAAGATAAATATTTGTTTACTTGCTCCTCTGAAATTTGGACCCTCTGGTCAAATGGGATGTTTGATTGGGGATATATGACCAGTCCTTTTCCCAAATCTCTGCATGGCTGCCTACAGCTGTCTTCTATGAAAGCGTCCTGACCATTGTTTCACTTTAAAGCAGAGATGCCCAAAGTAGGGCCCGTGGGCCAAAGTTGGTAACCTTGGGTTACCTTCAGACAACCTTCAGACCATCAGAAAAGAGAGGGAGAATGATGGGGTGTTGGTTGGGACGAATGCCTTTTACAGAGATTGTCATTTCGAATTTAACAAAACCTTTTGTTTCTTTGTTTTATTGCTAAGCTAACTGAAATGAAATGATTCAGTTGAATGTTGTAAATGAATCCAACTTTTAAAATGTAGGATATCTGCAAGCAAATCAAGGTAAAGGCAGGAGCAGCTCGACTAGTGTATTCCGCATTGAACTCCATTGTGTTATAAATAAGATTGTTTATGTTTTTACTGTTATAATTTTGGGTGAAACAGTGGGTCAGTGGTGCCTCACAGCAAGAAGGGAGCTGATTTGGGTCCTGGCTGGGTCAGTTGGCATTTCTATGTGGAGTTTGCATGTTCTCCCAGTGTTGATGTGGTTTTTCACCGAATGCTCCGGTTTTCCCCACAGTCAATAATCAATTTGAACTGTTTAAAATAGAAGAGGGTTCTTTATCCTACATGTTTTAGTATTGTCCTTAACTCTTTAATGTCTGGAAATATATTTTTGATTTCTTTTTAAAAGCTTTTCACAAGGAGGTTAAGTCGGACCATTGTCTTGAAATTCTTGGATATTCTGAGACATTAGACACTTTTCCAAAGTCCCAGCAACGTCCCCTTTTGATGGGCCTAAGAGTTCTTTCACACCTAGACTTTTGTTTCGGAACCCGGCGTGTTTCCCCTGTTAGTTTGTTTGGCATATGTGAATCCAGCAATCGCACTCAGATCCGCTCCAAAACAATCGTTTCGAGATAAGCTGAATGAGGTGGTCTCGGCTCAATTGAAATAAACTGGAGCGCATCATTTGCAGGGAGAAAGTAATGCAATCCAACAAACTAACAAACCAGCCTATACCACAGGATATGTAATAGACATATATATGAGGAGCGAATAATGAGTAGGGTGGGATGTCATCATTCCTAGCGGTAAATGTGTGTTTCATGTCAAATACAAAAGTGAAAGTATGCTAAACTAACGAGAGCTGTTTATTCAAAAATGGACTGAACTGTAGTCTTGGTTTATCTGTCATTTCTCTCTATTATGTAAAGCCTATAATGCATAATTATAGCCAACTTCTATGTATGAGAAAGTCCTACCTCTGATTAATATTTGGTAAAGATGTCTGTGTATGTCACCATTCAAAAATAAATTCAAAATTAAATTCAAAATTTAAATTCAAAATTAAATTCAAAATTAAAATTCAAAATTAAATTCAAAGTAAAATTCAAAATTCAAATTCAAAATTAAATTCAAAATTAAATTCAAAATTAAAATTCAAAATTAAATTCAAAGTAAAATTTAAAATTCAAATTCAAAATTAAATTCAAAGTAAAATTCAAAATTAAAATTCAAAATTAAATTGAAAATTCAAATTCAAAATTAAAATTCAAAATTTGCTTATAATGTCTTATTGCTTATTGTCATAAGTCAAAATAAAGATGGATGACAGCTGAGCAAGACTCTGAAAAATAAACAGGGGAACCAATGTTAGGAGAGTTTACTCGCATGTGACTTGTTTTAGCTATTTTGGTCTGTTTATAAACTTTAGAGTGTTAAAGCAAACTGCACCAAGAACAAAAATAAACATTGTAACAATTTTAATCCTTGTTTCTGAACAAAACATTCGATCTAAAGGATAAAAAAGGATACTTTTACACTGGAAAACTTCCAAACCTCCATGTTTAAAAGAGTGGAATTGTATCAAGTCATTCATCTTAAGAGGATACGCTCCTTGGAACCAAAATCTCAACACTAATTTCAAACTGTATGGCAACCTTTTCTGGATTTCCTCAAAACTGATTACTGCAATGCCAACAATTTATTGGATCAATTGATCATATTCTGATATTACATTTGAACATTATGATTGCATTGATTGGTACTTAAATACCCTTATTTATTTGTTAGTTATTCACTTTAATTAATTAATTTCTTTTTCTTTTTCTGATTTTTACTATGTTTATACCAGTGGATTTCCTTGTACCTTTTAGTATTTAAAAAAGAAAAAGGCTTCAATAAAATATTGAAAAAGAAAAATCCATATGAAATGTCAAGCAAAAATCGAGCAAAAGCTCTAAATATTTACATTCATCAATCTTAAAAATAATCAAAACTAATATCTATATCAGTCTTTAGGCTTTCATAAATAAAGAACTCAAGAAGGGTTTTGTTCCTCAAGTTTTGTTACGAGTTGTAAAAAGTAGTACATTATGCAGATCACTAGATTAAAGACCTATTGCACCCTCTTTTTCCAAGTGCAGGTGCATAATAAAACTTTTTTCTCTTCTTCTTTTTTCACCCCCAGATTTCTCAGCTACGCGGCAACAACCGTAAGTTCACCTTGCTGCATGCCCTTGTGGAGCAGATCATGTTGCGAGACCCACGTTTGGCCACCTTTTTCCTGGAGCTTGCAGAATTCGAGACAGTTCCCGGTGGTACTATAATCAAAATTTCATTGGGTGTGATAGATGTTTCGGGGGCTGATTTGATTGAATGCCTTCTGATTGTGTGTTTCTGTGGTTTCTCCTGCAGCTTCGGTTAAAGGTCTGACAGCGGAGGTGGACGGTACGTGGACGCTTCATCTGAATGGTTTTTGAGATGCTTCTTCTGCACCAAACTTGATTTTACACTGCAAAACTCACTTAAAACTCACTTATTTTATAAATTTTACAATCATTAAGTTTTGTATATGTTGTATCTGTTTGTTTCTTACTGTTGTAAAGTGTCCTTGAGCACTGGAGATGTGGTATATAAAATACACTTATAATAATAATAATAATAATAATAATAATAATAATAATAATAATAATTATTATTATTATTATTATTATTATTATTATTATTATTATTCATAAAATTAACCAAGTAATACTAGAAAAAAATGAATGATTTAAGAAGTTAAAGACTAGAAACAAGTCAAATGATCTAGCAGTGCAGTAAGATAATTATAATTGGGACATTTTCTTGAAATAAGAAAACATTCCTAGGCATTTGTAAAGAAAAAAGTCTTAAAATAAGTATTTTACAATTATAACAGGCAAACAACTTGAAATAGTTAAACATAACGCAAGTGAACAGGTTTTATTATTAAGAGAAAAGAAAATACAAAACTATACAACCCTGTGTGAAAATGTGAAATGAAGGCATTGCAGTGGCCTAGTTAAAGTCCTGACCTGAATCTAATTGAAATGCTTTGGCATGACCTTAAAAGGGCATTTCATGCTCAAAAAACCCTCCAATGTGGCTGAATTACAATGATTCTGCAAAGATGAGTGAGCCAACATTTTTTCACAGAGCTGTAACTCATTGCAAAAAGAATCAAAAAACAGAAAGAGCATTATTGCCAGGTATGTTCATGCATACAAAGAATTTGTTTTTATGACAAAGCATCTACAGAGCAACAGAATGACAGAGACAGGACAAAAAAACAGATATTAAATATATTTAAAAGTAGAAGTAAATAGTGAATGCAAATGATCAAATTGTCAAGTGTACAGGTATATTATTATGTACAACGTTATATGGGCAGCTGTTATGTGCAAATTGGTATTTAAATTATGTTGTTGAATAAATAAGTGTATACTGTATGTGTAGAAAAAGTAGTGATGTTTGTTTCACAATAACTATCATCAAGTGTTCATGAGATGGATTCCCTGAGGGAAGAAACTGTTTTGGTGCGCAGTGCTTTGTAGCGTCGACCAGGTAAAAGTTCAAAGAGTCAGTGTGCTGGCTGTGAGGGGTCCAGAGGGATTTTGGCAGCCCTTCTGCTCGCTCTGGATAAGTACAGTTCTTGGAGAGTAGGGAAGGTTGTACCAGTGATTCGCTGAGCAGTCCGAACTATGTAGTCTTCGGAGGTCAGATTTGGTAGCTAAGCTAAACCAGACTTGTAGAGCATGCATTATTGATTGATAATTGCTCCATGTTTTAAATTTCTGTCCAGAGAGATCATGTTTTGATCCTCGATTGGTCTCACGCAGTCAAGTGATGCAATTTCACAGGTCAGAGTTCACCAAGCTTGAACTTTGCACTGCAGCAACCTGCGAAACTTGACGCATGACCCTGCGTTTCCGGTCTGACGCATTCGCGTGCGTATGAATGGAAGTCTATGGGAGGAAAAGCCCAGTGTGACCGCAGCTTTGGGCTGGATATTTAAATTAAATTTGGAATGATCCGATTGGCTAGTTAGTGATTAGTAATAGGGATCAGCTGTAGTCAATCCTATCACGTGCTTCTCTTGAAAATTGTTTGTAAAACTTCACTTAAGCTTTACTATGACATAAAACATAAATAATATTAAAACATTCCCGATAATCTTACACAATCTGATCTGAAATAGTATGGTTTTCTTTAAAACATTTTTTGGGCTAGAAATAAGACTCTTGACTAGTCGAGAAGTTTTTGCAGTGTAGATGTCAAGGTTTTCAGAAAGCAATGCTTGATTGGGCACTTTTCATTTCAGAAGATCAACAGTCCCTTTTCAGTGTAATATTCAAGTGTGGTCAAGCATTTCATACGCTTTATAGCTTCTTCTTTTTTTTTAATCAGCTGTGCAGTACATTCAGACCTGTTGCTGCTTGGCTTGCTTGTGCATTAATGCAGAAAGGAATGGCAATTTTATTCATAGAGTGTGTAGCGGGTGGATTATAAATGTACTCAAAAAGCGATTTTCACTCTTTGTCACCATTTAGTTGTGAGGAATGAATTTCAGAAGGTCATCCAGTACAGGAAGGCACATAAACGGAAAAACATGGGCAATCAGCAAATCAAGTTCTTCCAGGACATGAAGGTAATTTACAGATTTGTTTCATTGTGTTTGTTCATGTCAGATCTGCTTGTCTTATACAATAATAGATAGATTTGCACATAAATTTGAAAGAATATTTACATCTAGAAACATTTTTAGGACAAACGTTTAATTATTACTTCATGTATAGTGCAATAACAATGAATAAAAGGGGATATAAGATATTTATTTTCCAAAAAAAATGCTAAAAGCACTAAATATATATATATATATATATATATATATATATATATATATATATATATATATATATATATATATATATATATATATATATATATATAAATTATAAATAAAAAAAAATGTTATATTGGTCAAGTTTTACACTATGGTTTTATTAAGTAAAGTTAGTTAATTTATTTATTAACATAAACTAATAATGAACAAAACTTGTACAGAATTTTTGGATTCAAAGTTCAAGATGTGCTAATGCTTTATTAAAATCCAAGTTCATGCTTGTTAACATTAACTAATGCACTTAATCTAAATTATTAAATATATTTGTAAAATTATTTAAAAGTAAAGAAATCCATAAATTATGGGATTTTCAGAATGTTTGTGATAATAATTGACTTTTTCAAACTAAATTGAAAAACCCTCAATGTTGTGTTTAAAATGTGTGTCCCCCAGTATTAATACAAATTGACAAACATATTTTGCAGAACACCACTCTTGCTTGTGCATCATCATTTCACTATCTCAGAAATGTAAAACAAATACTTGTTTTACAAAAATGCTAGAATTAATCCTGTAAATGTCATCAAGGTGACAAAGTGGCTCAGTGGTCAGCACTGTCACCTCACAGCAAGAATGTATATGGTTCTAGTCCCGGCTGGGTCAGCTGACATTTCTGTGTGGAGTTTGCATGTTCTTCCCATGTTGGTGTGGGTTTCCTCCGGGTGCTCCGGTTTCCCTCACAGTCCAAAGACATGCGGTATAGGTGAATTGAATAAATTAAATTGCCCGTAGTGTATATGTGAGAATGAGAGTGTATGGGTGTTTCCCAGTACTGGGTTGCAGTTGGAAGGGCATCTGCTGTGTAAAACATATTCTGAATAAGTTGGTGGTTCATTCCGCTGTGGCAACCCCTTATGAATAAAGTTACTATGGAGAATGAATGAATTAATTAATTTTTTCCATGATAGTTTGTGCACATTTTTCATATAAAATAAAAGGTTTGTATTACACAGTTGAGCTCATATGTTCAATAAATGGAATTTTTGAAATTGTAATGCTTAATTACAATTCAACACTTCAAATTGTGCAAAAAAATGGTGGATGGAAACATACTGTACCTATTGGCTGCTGAGTGTCAACATTCTTCAAAATACCTTCTTTTGTGTTCAATCAAATAGGATAAGTAACTTGACAGAATTGTCATTTTTGGGTGAACTGTTCCTTTAAGAGGACAAGCCTTATCAGAAAGCTTTTATAAGGCTTTAAACAAGGCAAAAGCACATTTCATACACAATGGGAATTCAAAGTGCTTTACTCAAACAGGAATAAAAGCAACAAGTATAACAAAATAAAAACAGCAAAGAATAAAAATAATTAATAATGAGAAAGAAAAGAAAGATATATTAATACACTCGGACGCAGCACAGTACTCATTCAGTATAGGCACAGCTAAACAGATGTGTTTTCAGTCTTGATTTGAGTGTGCCTAATGTTGGAGCACATCTGATCATTTCTGGAAGCTGATTTCAGCAGCGAGGTGCATAGCTGAAAGCAGATTCACCCTGTTTTGACTGAACTCTGGGAATTTCAAGTTTATATGATCCTAAAGATCTGAGGGATCTGTTAGATTTGTTTTCAGTGAGCATATCTGTAATGTATTGAGGTCCTAAACCATTTAGTGATTTATAGACAAGTAATAATACTTTAAATCTATTCTGAATGTAACTGGGAGCCAGTGTAAAGACCTGAGGACAGGTGTCATGCGCTCAGATTTTCTGGTTTTGGTCAGAATCCTGGCAGCAGTGTTCTGGATGAGCGGCAACTTTATGACTGTCTTTTTGGAAACATAGTTTTTGCAGTCTTTTTAATCAATTGTGAAACTCAACTATTCACTTTCTTCATAAAAAATACATTTTCGTTTAGGATGTTTTTCACAAGAACCCAATGCGCTCAGTGAGAAAGACAGTTAATCCAGATCACATAAAGCACAGGCCACAGTGAGCTTGTTGTCTGAAAGCTTGTAGGAAAGCTTTTTCTGGTTGGAAAGAAATATCGATTATCAAAATCTGATAGCGCTGAGAATGCCAGCTCTACCTCTTCAAAAGCAGTGGAAAAAAAGCACAGCCTGTAACACCTGCTTTCTCTTTATCTCCGGCTCTAGACGGCCATCCAGAAACATGAGGCCGACCTCCGACAGCTGATGAAGAGGTGCGAGGAGATGAGGAAGCTCTACACTGACATATTGGTAATCTTTGAGTTATTATTTCAATATCTCTTCTGTTGTGCTGCTTTGGAGAGACGGATGGGTCAGAATCTGGAGATTGGCCTTTCTCTGCTTATCTGGGCCAGGTGGACGCTGGGAAGGGGAATTTATATTTTTGACCATCCATTCATCAAGGTTACACAGTTTTTTGTTCTCACTGTGAGAGACAAGAGGCTGGATGGAGATTGAATTATGATTAGGATTCTCCGTGATGTTCTTGGTTTGTTTATAACGCTAAATATGTGATGAGCACAGCAGAGCCAAAGGGGTATTGGCAACAACATAAAAATTAGAAATCCAATATTTTGTATTGGATTTAGTTCATGTTGACTTTTTTTGTTTTAAGTAAACTAAAAACTGATTTAGTAGACAAGTGAGATTTAACATAAACTAGACTAGGGGTGTAATGGATCACGGTTGATTTGTGATTCGTACAGATCACAACCCACCATTCGGAACACACATGGCATGCGGATTAACTTTTTTACTTGTAGATTAATCTTAAATTTGTAACGATCGCAGAGAGATCGTCTTATTGTGTCATTCAAATCTCATGTATAAAAGCATTTAGGCTTTCCTGTAAAATATAACGATGATGGAAGAAGTTGTGGTAGGTTATTCAGGACGTGGTGGGTGTCTTAGGTTATTAAAGGTGTTTTCTGTCACTACTTCTTTAGCCTGCATTAATGCATTCAGTGTAAGCTGCACCATTAACTATTAAAAGATTGGGATCTCAACACCCACGCAACATAAATTATTAATGATGGTGATTTGCATAATTTTAACAATTATTCGAATTGCTGCATTCAAATCTGTGTTAGAAACAGGTTCAAGAAAGAGATTCAGTCTAGGCCGGCTCACACTGTGTGATTTTTTTTTTTTTTTTTATCATTATTTTTTTTAATAATCCTAAATGATTGTAGCATGTCAGACTGCATGAACATGGCTCCCATGTCACACTGTCAAAATCTCAGCTGTCATAAAGTCATACTGAACGACAATGAAGACACGCCAAACACGAAAGAAAACACCCCCTGAGTTTGATGTCATCCACCTGCGACACTTACACTATCCTGCGTTCTGAAATGATTCCTTACAGCAAATGTGAACAATCTGTAGCGGCAATTTTGCACATGGCGTGTCTCAGTAATAAAACCAGAAAGAAAAAAAAATGTTTTGACATATACCTGCAGTCATTTGAATTGTCGCATGGATTGCGTCATCCAATTGCTCCTATTGGTTCTGTGGGAAAGTGTCTGAAATCTTCTGACACTGCCAGAACTTCATCGGAGGGAAAAGCTGATCGCAACAGGCACTAAGTCTGTGAACATGTCAAACCAATGATCAAAGATCACAGATTTTAGCCTAGGATTTCAGGAATCTTTTAGGATTTCCCAAATTTGTCTCAGATGACAAAATCATGGCTGAAATCTCAGTGTGAGCAAGGCTTCAGTTATGAAGTTACAAACAGTCAAATAACACGAAAATACTGGGATTACAGTTTAAAGTTTAGATATAAACACTGAAGTTTATGGTAAAGATTAAAATCCCCATCATACGCATTTTACTTAACGCTCAAAAAAGAAAGTCGTAGGCAGCAGTTACATTATTTAACCAATAGGTGGCAACAACCAGCCATCAAAAATATGCCACTAAATAATTCTTTAAAAATGATAATCTAGCAATGAAACATGAAGTTTTATGAGTGAATAACTCACAGTACTTTTTCACAGTACTTATTTTTATTCAGTTGATTATTTCTTCATTTTATTTTTAATAAATCTATAGGTTTTAAGTTCTGTTTGTTAAAACTAAACATTTCTTGCAGTGCTCTTTTTGGAATAAATGGAAAGCAAATTACATTTGTCTTCTCCCCCTTTTGGCTGATCCAAAAAATTGGCCGATCCATGAATAAAAACCCATAGCGTGATCCGAACCGTGAGATTTGTGATGCATTACACCACTAAATAAGACACTCTATGGAAGATAGAAAAAATTTACTACAAAGAAAAGGAAAAGTTTTTAAAACTTTTAAGGCTTATTCAGCAAGGTTGTATAAAATCGATCGATGACAATAATAAAGATTTTACGGTGTATAATGAAAAATATACAGGTCTGTCTCTGACTAAATCATTTCATACTCATAAATCGCAACTTATGAACTTGTCAACATAATATCATAAAAATAAAATGTTTGTTATATAAAATGGCTTGAAAAACAAACACTGAAAATATACCATAAACTATAATGTGTATAGTTAGTCTACACTCACCGGCCACTTTATTAGGTACACCTTATTAAGGGGGTTTGGACCCCTTTTGTCTCAATCCTTCATGGCATAAATATATCGAATTACTGGAAATATTCCTCAGAGATTTTGGTCCATATTGACCTGATGGCATTACACAGTTGGTACAGATTTGTCAGCTGCACATCCAGGATGTGAATCTCGCGTTCCACCACATCCCAATGGTGCTCTATTTGATTGAGAACTGGTGACTGTGAAGGCCATTTGAGTACAGTGAACTCATTGTCATGTTCAAGAAACCAGTCACATGACATGGCGCGTTATCCTGCTGGAAGTAGCCATCAGAAGATGCGTACACTGGGGTCATAAAGGGATGGACATGGTCAGCAACAATACTCAGGTAGGCTGTGGTGTCGACACAATGCTCAGTTGGTACTAATGGGCCCAAAGTGTGCCAAGAAATATCCCTCACACTATTACACCCACACCACCAGCTTAAACCGTTGATGCAAGGCAAGATGAATCCATGCTTTCATGTTGTTGATGCCAAATTCTGACCCTACCATTGAGACTCATCAGACCAGGCAACGTTTTTCCAATCTTCTATTGTTCAATTCACTTTTAAACTTGCCATCAGAGATATCAATTACAATTTGAAATATGCCAAAAAACGAACAAACACAGTCTTAGTCAGAAAAGGTGATTTAATCTTACCAGCAACTGCCTTTACACTAAAAAAGTTCTCAGGTGGCTGGAAAATACACACACACACACACACACACACACACACACACACACACACACACACACACACACACACACACACACACACACAGGATTCCTTATAATAAAGGAAAAGAACAAATTCTTGCCGAGAGTCTATTTTCCAAATGTCCCAGTTTTCTTTAAGCCCATCCACAAAGACTGCGAGTGCTTTATTGTGAACATTCAGCCTATTGTGCCTCTGACAGGATGAGGAGCGAGTCTCCTGCCAGAATGAGAATCGCTTTCCTCTCACAATTACAGACCAAACTTTCAGCCTTGGCCAGAAATACAGCAAACGGCAACATGGGGCTGTAGAGCTGATAATAAAGGGGAGAAGAGAGAAACTGAGAGTGATGGGAAATAAACTGCTGTTTGGTCACCAAGTAGTTGATTTACAGGTATTTTAGTTTTTAAGTGTTAAGTTTACATATTTCTGGAATTTCCACAGCATCTCTGCAGGTATGAAGGTGACTGGACTGTAGTTTGCTGCATCTGTTGATCTAAAAAGTTAAATTATGCTATTATTTCTACTCTTCCTCATGTTATTCAAAACTTATGCAAATTGTTTTTGTTCATTGGTTGAATAATGACAGCAGTTTTAATTTTTAAGAGTGTAACATATAGTCAGCTCACTTTCTGGAAAAACCTCCAGCATCAGCCTCTCCAAAAATGCATCTATACTGTTACGATAACCAGCGATCGCTCTCCGGAGATCGCTGGTTTCCGGAGATCGCTGGTTTCCACTATACCAGGACTACACTTCCGCCTATCCCAGGACTACATTTTCATACATGCACTTCTTCCAGACACGCACGCCTGTTCACTTATCTGCTTGATTACATTCACCACCTGAACCTTGTCATAGACTGATATCACACCACTTATAAGCCACTCATGAACCCATCCAGTTTGCCGAGTCTTGTTCGCATATAGTGACATTTCAACGCGTTTCTCCCTGTCTTGTTTTCTTCGTGTTAGACCTTAGCCTTGTTTAGCCTTGTTTAGCCGCCTGCCTTTCGACCTGTTGCCTGTTAATACGATTACGATTTTGGATTTTCCTGCATATACCCGATTGTACCTGATTTGACCACTGCTTGCCTGACGCTGAATAAACCTGCATATTGGATCTTACCTCAGTTGTATCTGTCACTCCCTCCCCGGTCGTTACATATACATAGAGTTCACTGCAGTTTTCAGCTGAATTAAACACTAGATGCAGTAAAACACAGGCAACTTTTGTTTTCCTTAACATAAATCATGATTATAGGGCAGATTGTTAATGAACGAAAACTTTTGCACGGTTCTTTGCACAGTACTATTACTTTTTGTTATTATCTCAAAACCAAAGTGGATGCTTTTTAATGAGAAAAGCTGAATATATAAGCTTTCAACTGATGTATGGTTTGTTAGAATAGAATAATATATAGAAAACGCAGCAATGAAAGGGACCTCGCACCCGGGCTCACCGCCGCCCGGTGGCCTCAGGATGACAGAAAAAAGGGAACAATAATAATTTAAGCTAATATATTTTTAAAAATCTGAGTAAATCACAGATTTATGTCAAACTTCCTTTTTTCAGCAGGTGGCGCTATAACTGTGACTTAATGTTGGCAGCTAGATGCCTTCAGGATAGGAATCTTATGGAACATGCACATTTTTGGCAGGTTATACATTGTGTGGTAGTTATAAGCCAAAGCTCTTTCTGTCAGCAGGTGGCGCTATGACTGTGACTCTATATTGGCATGTAGATGTCTTTAGGAATTTGATCAACCATGTGAAGTTTCAGGAAGATCGGACGTTGTGTGGTTGAGTTATAAGTATTTCCTGTTCCATGGCGAAGCACTGCAGTTTGTCTTGCCGTCTTGGACATGCCCTTCTGCAAAAACTCTAAATCTTCACAATATATCATCGCTAGAGCTTTCAGATGACACCACCCAATTTTGGTGCTGATACGATAAAATTTGTGGGAAGAGTTTGTTACACTTTAAAACATGTCATTTCCTGTTGCCAGCAGGTGGCGCTATAACTGTATCTGAATAGTGGCATGTAAAGCTTTTCAGGTCAGGACTGTTATCAAAAGTGTGAATTTTGAGGCAGATGCATGTCTGAGGTATAACCACCTCCTGTTTTGTGGCGAATCGTCAAAGTTTGAGACGTCCTTTGATGAAAACTCTAAATCTTCATAATTTAACATCGCCAAGGCCTTTGGGTGACAAAAGTTAATTTTGGTGTTGATCCGAATAACTCCCTAGGAGAGGTTTGTTAAAATACAACGCCTGGAAATGGCAAAACCTATGCTTTTTCGACGCAGGAACTTTCAAATATTCGTCTTCCTGTTGGGTTTGAGATTTCGCTCCAAGAGACTTTTTCGTAGGTATTTTCGTGTTTGAGGTGTGTGCCAATTTTTGTTTCGTGTTTTTGAGGTGTGTGTGAATCGTAGCTCAGGGGCCAGTCCGTCAAAAGTGCATAGGTGACGCTGTTGAGTCATTTTGCCATGCCCACTTCCGTAACATAAAACAAACATAAACTTTCACCACTTCTGGTGCGTGTGGAAAGTTTTGTGAGTTTTCGGGCATGTTTATGAAAAAGGCGCAGTATGCGAATGGCTTGCTGCTATAGACCTTTTTCATGGCTGCTGCATGGAGGGCGCCATAGCGACCAGCGTCTTCCGGTAGAATGCTAAAAACTTCAGTTTACAGCGTGTACAACTGGTAATTTGCGCTCCGAAAATGGGTTTCAATAACGTTTTTAATGGATAACAGAGTGTTTTTGTGACACACAACTTAGAAATGTGTCTGGTAAAGCCGTTATAATCTGTCACATGTGGTTCAAGCGCGTCAGAAATACGAGAAAAAATGTTATCCTAGTTCACGTGTCTGCCGTCAGAAATACAGAATACAGTGTGTGTGTGTATTCCCGGCCTGTCAGCTGTTAGCTCAGTGGCTCTTTAAAGGGCCATGAAACCCCCTCGTTTCAGCAGGGTGTTTTCACACCTCTACTTTGGAAAAAGTCAGTAAAGTGGGCGTGTCCAGCTCTGTTTAGGGGGGAGTGTCGGAGGAAGAAAAGCGGCTTGGTATGGGAGTGTCTATTTGGGCGTGCTGAATTTCTGAGTCAAAACACACACCCTCAGCGGACAATGTGACTGTGTTTACATGGACATCTGTAGTGGAATTATTTGCCAAATTATTAAATGGTGGACTTTAACTGCAGTTTGGCTCTTTCATTCAGGGAATTCATTAATGTCCCTCCCGACAAACGTGATATTTGATTCGAGGCGCTGCTCTAAGCGTGTATTTTTCATGCAATGTTTGATACCGCACGGCGAATGAGAGAAAAAAAACTCAGCATTTCTCGGAAACTTAGATACACACGGCAGGTAGTGTCAGAAAGCCACGTGTGTTATTCCGGTCACAAAATCCAACACGAGGTTATAGTTTGGTTGTAGTGCTAACTTGTTTACACTCGGTGCAATAGTTTGTTTGATACGAATAAAATACGAACTGAATAAACAAAGAGCACTGGTCGCTCACTTACCAAATCTGTAGAGACAGGACAATCACCAGCAACTAGAGCCGCGTCTTTATTTAGAGGAGACTACAATCTGGATCTCAGCGTTTGCAGATGAGAACAGCTCTCAGGTAAACAATAATCCTCCTCAGACACGTAAGTTATTGTTGTCGAGCGTCGCGTACACTGTTAATCCACGCGTGAGTCTGCGCTCTCACAGAGAGAAAATGAAAACGAAACTTAACTGCAGCAAACTATAAAAGCAACACTTCACGCTTGTTTTGCCAACACAACGTGGCGTCTTTGCCGTCTACACTGTGACAGTAATGAATATTAATGAAGTGGCACAATAGAGCGCGCTGATTGGTTTGAACCAAGCCTTACTCATGCATTAATGCAACACACTGTAAGACGTAATAAGACTCACTCTGGCACAGACGTCCAGTCTGCACGCTGGAATACACGCTATTATGTCATGGCCGTGACGCAGCTTCAAAAATTTGTTTCAAACCGGAAGTACGAATTTGCTTGAAATAACGCAAAAACAACCAATTTACACTTTTTAGTGAAATATAGGTGTCCTAATAGTGTTTTAGCAGTGTGGGACACATATACGACTGTCAACACCTCAAAAAATGTGTTTTGGTGTTTCGTGACCCTTTAACACACACACACACACACACACACACACACACACAGAGAGAGAGAGAGAGAGAGAGGAAACCAGAGTACTGGCATAAAACTTAACAGGTATGAAAGTCGTGCAACTTACAGAAATGACCAATAAAAGTCTGTTATTGATACTCTGCTGGCTGATTTGCTGTTCATTCTAATCGCGCCGTTTGTGTTTTATTTCGTGTGTTGTATTCACCACGGTTTGTGTTTTTCTGTCATTTCAAAATGACACTAGCCTATATTTTCACTTTGTCACAGTTATTAAATCAGTGTGTCAGTGGCACAGTACAGGCTACGTGTGTGTGTCAAACATTTTGGTGAACTACATTTGTTTGGGCTGGTTATATATTTGAAATAAAGAGAAAATGTTGACTTTAGCGATGACAAGGCTTCATTTAAACTGCAGAAGATGCCGTCTGACAACGAGGGGAAAACACCTCACAGCAGCTGTTTTCCTTCCTATTAGATCGCATTTCTTTAAATGATCAGTCCAGGAGATGGTGCTGATGGACAACAGTATTAGTTCAAAGAGGATAAAAGCAGGTAAAATAGATTAAAACTATCGTTTCAAAGCTGTCCAAATGTGACTGTTTACACGCATCAGCTGCCGACCGGAAGTTCTTCGCATTCTCCTTGCGCATACACGCAAAGCATAATGGGCAATTTTGCGTTCCAAGAAAAAGGTCTATAGTTATTCCAGTGTGTGTGCATATTAGCCTTGGTGTATAAGCTCAGAACTTTAAAGTTCGGCCTGCGGGGCACCAATTGAATAGCCCTACTGTAGACTTGCACAGACCGCTGTTTGCTTCAGATAAATAGCTGCGCTGACAGAGCACAGCACACATTTTGTTCTTGTTCATCTTTGCTTTGCTACACAACAACATCAATGTAGGAACACCCACTATATAGCGACTTCAATCACCTCACAAGGTGAAAGGTAGCCATAAAGTTGCTGGTAGTTTGAATAAAGCTTAGGATGTAGCGCTTCACCAAAATGATGGACTTAGCACTCCCAAAAATTACAAAACACAGACAAAAGCTTCTTGTGATTAATTAACAGAGGGTGCACTACATCATGTCTAGGGAAGTTTTATTCATGCATCAGCTGAAATGGCACAGACTAAAAGACTGTACTGAGTCATCAACTCTGTTTGTTCATTAGTTTTCTTTTTGTTTCACAGGTCAAATTCGGAGAGCCTTTGGATCAAGACTCCCAAGAACTTTTCGGATGGATCTGCCAATTTATCAACGACTTCAAGAAAGTACACTCTGAATACACTCAATGAACACAAATCTCCATTCGGACAAGTAAATGCTCGCATGTGCAGATCTAGACCTGCATTCTCACGCATTTCAATCAATTCTAAACGCCATTTGTAGACTTATCAGCAGCACATGACCAATGGGTCTCATTCACTAATAACTGCGTACGTTTATCGTATTTATGAGCATGTTTGAACTTCTTGTGAAAACTTTTCACCTAATTCACAAAACATGAGCTTGTTCTTAAAGGTCGTGTAAAGTGCTTTGAAATGTGCGTTTTTCAGTCAGTGGTTGACAAATCTCAAGAGTAGGTCATAGAGTAGCTCCTCCCCTATTTAAAGAGCAGCCAATAGCGTTTTGCTTTATCACCACTCTGCCAGTGATAGTGGTTAAGATCGAGCACATCAAATGTTAAGCATCTTGAAGGGGGCGGGGCAGGTTAGATACTTGAGAGGATTTGATTGGTTATGATTTGATGAGAAACTGTCGTATGAGGTGACGTGAGTAAAGCCATTGATCCATTCAGGCGGAAGTGACAAACTACAAGCTTTACATGTTTATATCAGTTTTATGTGTTCTAAATACGAATTTTGACACTGTTTTGGAGCACACTTACTTATAGATATCATAAAAACGAACAATACTGATACTAATTTATGGAACCTTTAAACTTCTGTTGGACTGATCTAAATAGGGTATATGACGGAGTATGCTAATAGGAGTTTTAATTTGCCAGTAACATGGGTTAAGCACTTCTGGTGAACTGTATTCCATTACAAAATCGGCGCATTTAAGATGTTTTCTTTAAAAATCAGTGATCTCCACTGGCTGAGAGATACTCGGATTGTACAAGAAGCACTGCATTAAATTACATTTCCCCCTGCCATGTCTTTATAATATGAGCATTTATTTTACCCCAGTATATTCAATGGAGCTTCTGCGCTAGCCTGCCGATTCTGACAGGCGTGTAAGAGTAGACGGCTGTTTGTCTCGTTTTACGCTTGAGCAACTAAATAAATGCCAAAGTCTGTTTAACTGATTGTATTTCAATTACATTACAACATTGATGCTGTAAAAGGAACCGTATAAAAACCTCACAACAGGTCGCCGGAAGTTTATTAGTATGGGAACAACACTAGCTCGGCATGTACACTATAAGCAGCTCCATGCACGCGGTTAGTGGTTTGCATAATACACGTTTACACCAGCTCGATATTAGGGCTTTCCACACAGTGACACTTTTTCAGAGAAAAATAATACAAGGCAAATGATGAATTAAGAAGAGACAATAATGGCAAAGAAAAAAATTACATACATTACTGAATGATTTCTCAAAATGTGAGGTGCAACACTGCATTTTTGTTAACCCTTTTCAAAGGAGCAGAGCGCTGCATGTTTTATGATTCTAGGCGACTGCTGTTTTAACAGTCTTAATGTTCAGGTGCTTTTTCTATTGACTTTTGTCGACTTTATCCAACCGCAGGCACACAGGGCACGCCGTCAAAACACAAGGCGCAGCAGACGAATGCGAAACACGTGTGCACATAAACAGCGCAAAACACTAGATGCTGTTTAAAAAAAACATTTTAAAAAGGCAAAAAACACTTTAGTGTGTTCAGAGACATTCGTCACATTTAAGTAAGTAAAATATCTAAGAACAGTTGAAGTCATAGTTATTCACCCCCCTGTTTTTTCCCGCTAATTTCTGTTTAACGGAGAGAAGATTTTTTTCAACACATTTCTAAATATAATCGTTTTAATAATTCAAATTGCAGATTGAATATCTCCAGCTGCTTTTTCACTAGCAGGTGGAGATGGACCAATTTCAGATTTTTAAACCAGTAAATATGCAAGAAAAAAAAGCTAGTAACGGCCTAACGCTAACCCTTATTCAATGTATTATTTCTTTTAGTTAGTGCTATCGCGCCAAACATGTCTTTCGCCTTATCGACTGATTTTGCGCGACCGTCATTTTAAACAGCGAAATCGAGGCTGCTGTGGGAAGAAATCCAGAAGTATCGCCTGAGTCACAGAGGAATGTTGTGTACCTTGCTGTATATTTTATCAGCGAAAAGAAAGTGACACTAATTTAGCCTTTCACTGCCTTCCGGGTGACCCGAAGATCCGTTCTTAATGAATAGTGGAAATAAAAAGGGATATTGGACCTCACTTTCAACTAAGTTAAGGGAAATGGCACGAGTTAGTGAACATTTTCTTTCCCAAACACACATTTTAGATGACATTTATCAAACTCAATTTAATGACCTGACTCTTTCACTATATTAGACATGTCACGATACAAAATTTGGTACTGAAATGTAAAAAAAAATGTCCATTTCCTGTTAACATTTAAGCACTCCCTGCTAAAAAACACCCTAAACCAGCCTAAGCTGGTTGGCTGGTTTTAGCTGGTTGACCAGCCTGGTTTAAGAGGGGTTTTTGTCAACTTTCAGGCTGGTTTCATGCCATTTCCAGCCTGGTCTTAGCTGGTCAGGCTGAAAAATTACCAACTAAAACCAGCTTGACCAGCCTGGTTTAACCTGGTCATCTCTCTGACCAGCTAAGACCAGGCTGAAAATGGCTGGAAACCAGCCTGGAAGTGGCCAAAACCCCTCTGAAACCAACCTGGTTGACCAGCTTAAACCAGCCAACCAGCCTAGGCTGGTATAAGCTGTTTTTTTCAGTAGGGCTGATGATGGCGCTCTTAAACAGCGCTGATTTGCCATGGTGTATATGTGCTCAACAGAAATGACTGGCAGAGAAGGTCATCAGTTCACCCACCACTGTTTACCGAGTGCAAACACTCAGCGGAGCTTAAATGTTAGCGGGAAATGGACATTTTTAAAAGTTCAGTACCAATACATCACTGATACAGACAACACGAGGATATGCTACAGAGGACTGCAGTGTTTTATTGCTCACCGGGTTACATAGGCTGAAGCAGAGAAGCGCTCCCACAGTGTTTACCTGCTGCCATTAACTGAAGCCTACGAGGACACTTAATCGTATTACCCTCAAAGAGATTGTGTTGTCACTTGATGGCTTATATGCTTTTAATTGTTTAAATTAAACTGAACTGAATGATATTAAAGTGGTGTTTACACCATTTCTGCATTTTGAAATCTCGGCAACTGGAGCTGGAGCTGGAGGTTTGTAGTACTCAGCATGTTGTTGCAGTGTTTACAGTGCTGATCCTATACTTCTGGGTTTCTTCCCACCCAGCCTTGCTTTCGTGTTTTAAAATGGCGGGCTCATGAAATAAGCGGCGGATGTATGATAGGGCCCAGAGTATGTGTGAAACAGGCGCAAGTTGTTCTTAAATATTTTTGTGCATTTTGACGAATCATGATTTATTGGTGAAACTGTTCATTTCTCACATACTGTACTGTAAATTTGTGCGTACGCATTGTTAGTGAACGAAACCCAATGTTTTCAGAATTTTTCCCAGTGCTGCTGTTTGGTCTGATTAAAAGTCTTGGCGAGCTGGATCATGCGCTTCTTTGACCTGGCTTAGATTGATTTTCCAGGCAGGGGTGAACGTTTACTAGCAGCACGTATTATTTTTGTTCTCTTAGAGTGGATGTATAATGGATCTTAGCGGTAAATCCACAGATGTCTGGCGTGAAAAGAAGCGTTTCTGGTTTTGACAGCCAGTTGAATACCTTCCATGTGTGTCTGCTGAACCTCTGACTCTCTCTGTGGCCTTGAGCGCGTGTGTGTTTTCGGATTGATACTGAATCCAATCCTCAGTGACGTTTCAGGACAGGACATCCATGCATTGCACTCCATTCAAAGCAGAGCTTTTTCAGCATTCAGAAAAAGAAGAGGGAATAAAAGAGGACGAAACAAATCTCTTTTCAAGTCTAATTTCCTTTGTGTAACAGTGGGATTTACATACTCATAACTTGTAATCCTTTTGTAATGAATGGTGCACGATGTTGCAGAGACAGTTCAGACGAATAGTTTGACATCATTTGCTTATCCTGATGCCATATTTAAACCTGTAAGCACAAATGGAGATACCTGGTAAAATGCTTAAGCTGCCTTTCCATTCATTCATTCATTCATTCATTCATTCATTCATTCATTCATTTTCTTGTCGACTTAGTCCCTTTATTAATCCGGGGTCCCCACAGCGCAATAAACCGCCAACTTATCCAGCACGTTTTTACGCAGCCGATGCCTTTCCAGCCGCAACCCATCTCTGGGAAACATCCGTCCACTCACACCCACTCATACACTACGGACAATTTAGCCTACCCAATTCACCTGTACCGCATGTCTTTGGACGGTGGGGGAAACCGGAGAACCCAGTGGAAACCCAAGTGAATGCAGGGAGAACATGCAAACTCCACTGCATTGCCCCTGATTTTCCATATAATGACAAATGATCATGTGGAGCGAAAAAGAATATATAAATAAATAAAATAAATGAAAACATTTTAAAAGTCATTAGGGTTTTACACACATTTAATTTTCTGCATTATTTTATTTAATATATATTTCTTGCTATATTAAAACTCTGATGAAGTACTTTATGATTTTAGATATTTTTACTATAATTTTTCTGAAGCACTGTATTGTTTTGTTTTATTTTTCATAGAATATCTTTATTTATATTTAGTTTTATTTTTTTTTATAGAATTTTAAATGTATATTTTTCAGTTTTACATTTAATTAAAACGCTTCTGATGCAGTATAACGTTCTGTTTTACATTTTTATGTTTCCAAACTAATTTCTGGAAAAAAACGTGAGCTGTTCTTTTAAAGCACATAAACATGTACAATTTGTTTTGCTGTATTAAAACTCTTCAGAAGATATTAAAACTCGGAAGTACTATTAAGTATAATTTTATGTTTTTATTGTGTGATTTTAGATATTTGTATTAAAACTCTTCTAAAGCATTATATTGTTTTGTTTTATATTTCATATAACATTTTTATATAAATTTATATAAGTATATTAAAATTTTATACATAACACACACACACACACACACACATACACACACACACACACACACACACACACACACACACACACACACACACACACACACACACACACACACACACACACACACACACACACACACACACATTTCTAATCAGTCAATCACATGGCAGAAACTCAATACATTTAAGCATGCAGACATGGTCAAGATGATCTGCTGCAGTTCAAACCGAGCATCAGAATGGGGTAGAAAGGTGGTTTAAGTGACTCTGAAAGTGGCATGGTTGTTGGTGCCAGACGGGCTGGTCTGAGTATTTCAGAAACTGCTGATCTACTGGGATTTTCATGCACAAACATCTCTAGAGTTTACAGAGAATATTCAGACAAAAGAGAAAATATCCAGTGAGCGGCAGTTCTGTGGGCGCAAATGGAGAATGGCTCTGAACTGATTCAAGCTGATAGAAAGGCAACAGTAACTCAAATAACCACTCGATACAACCGAGTTATACAGAAGAGCATCTCTGAACGCACAATACGTCCAACCTTGAGGCTGATGGGCCACTCCTGTGGGCCACTCCTGTCTGCTAAGAACAGGAAACAGAGGCTACAATTCGCACAGGCTCACCAAATTGAACAATAGAAGATTGGAAAAACGCTGCCTGGTCTAAATTTCTGCTTTGATAATTGGATGGTAGAGTCAGTTTTTGGCATCAACAACATGAAATCATGGATCCATCCTGCCTTGTATCAACAGTTCATGCTAGTGGTGGTGGTGTGATGGTGTGGGGGTTATTTTCTAGGCAGACTTTGGGCCTATTAGCACCAATTGAGCAATATATCAATGCCACAGCCTACCTGAGTATTGTTGCAGACTTCCGATGGCTACTTTTTAACAGGATGAAGTGCCATATCATAAAGCGTGAATAACCTGAGACTGGTTTCTTGAACATGACAATGAGTTCACTGCACTCAAATGGCCTCCACAGTCACCAGAACTCAATCCAATGGAGCACATTTGGAATGTGGTGGAACGGGAGATTCACATCATGGATGTGCAGCCGACACATCTGTAGCAACTGCG